ATCTAGGCATGTATATGTGGGGGGGGGTGGGAGCAGAGGTCAGCCTTTGAGGCCAGGTTCCTCACAAGCTCCCTGGCTGGCCAGGGAGCTCAGGGATCCATCTGCCAGCCTCAGCTTCCTCAGGCTGAGATCACAGGAACACGTGACTTTTTTCATAGGTTCTGGGGATTGTACTCAGCTCCTTATGCTTGTGTGGCAAGCATTTTACCCACTGAGCCATCTTCCTAGCCCTGCCTCGTGGCTTTTTAAAAGTTACCTAACCATGCTGCTGTCTTACCTATTTTGAGTGAATGAGTGGCATGAGGAGGTCACATGTACTTTGCCTGATGCTGCCTTCCTGTAGAAAAGGGCCAGCATTCACCAGCTGTGCTGTGCCTGGCTGAGCTGGCTCCCCAGCCTTAGTGAAAGTGAAGTGATGCAGTGGAGAGCAATGGGAAGAAGACAGGAAGCAGTGCTAATCTTGTTGGGGGTAAAGGGCTCCGAAGCTTAACCAGGCAGTGTGCAAGCTCCCATCCCTGTACTCTCACCTATGTTAGAAGCTGGGCACAGAGGATAATGTTCTACATTCACTAATAAGGAGTTAATCTCTAGTTTCCTAGAGGAAGATAGTACATTCACTAAGATCACTTCCCACTGAAGATCGGAGCCACTTAAGTGTCTGGTTAAAAAGAAATCAGTTTCAAAGCACGACTGATGTCTACCCCTGAACTGCGTGAGGATGCACTGGTGGACTGAGCACACACTGTCCACCAGGCCTGTTCCCAGCTCCAGGCTTCGGTAAGAGGTTCACTAGGGGACATGCTTTAGGGTTGCAGAAATGGTGGGTATTACATGTCAAAGGAGAGATGGTTTCACAGAAAAGGCTTATAAAGAATACTTCCATGAAAGTGAAAGATTAGCTTCACGGGAGAGAAATGCACAAAACTACATCTGGATAAAACTTGGGTGAGGGTGATAAATCCCTAAGTAAAAGCAAAGATACTGGATGATTTTACCTCCCCTGTGACTGACATTGTGAAAGGCATTCAGAGAATGTGTACCTCGTCTTAGAGAACATTCAAGAGTACTGATTGAGTGTTTTGAGGAAATGAACAGTGTCAAAGGATATTTATGGAAGTTGGGGGCAAATATCTGTTTAATAAAAAACTTGATCATTGGAAGCCAGGCATGGTGGTTTACGCTTATAATTTCAGTACTCACACCAGCACTTGAAAGGCTAGGGCCTAAGGATTGATGTGAGTTTGAGGCTAACCTGGGCTACATAGTAAGTTCCAGGATAGCCTTGGCTATATAGAAAGACCATGTTTCAACAAATAGAGGAAGGAAAAAGAGAGGAGAGAAGGGAGGGGAGGAAGAGAAAGAAGTAGAAGGAGAGGAGAAGTGAATCTGAGCATAGAGGAAACTGAAGGTAGTGCTTTGGGACTCTAGACGTTAGTTGGACCAGTGGGCCAGTGTTTTGTTTCAAAGGGAGGCATATCAAATATGTCCACAGGGATGGAAGCTAGAGACTGAGAATATTAACCAGTACTAATTATAGACTTGGAAAAGCATGACCACTGATGAGAAGGAAGAAGTCAGAGAAGAATGCCGCCTAATGTTAGCCTTCTTCAAAAATCCAAATGGAGGTAACACTTTTGAATGCCGAGAATAAGCACTTAATGCACTTCATAGCAAATGTCTTTTGTCTGTCCCTGCTAGAATATTAGATGCCTAAAGTTGAAAGTTGTGTTGAGGGCTGGGAGTGGTCATGCATGCGAGTTCCAGGCTACAGAGATGAGACCCTGTCTCCAAAAAAAAAAAGAAAAAGAAAAAAGAAAAAGAGAGTTGAATCTTGTTCATTTGTGCAGTTCTTTTCTGGGTCCATAGGATTGGTCAAATCCATTTTCAGTAAATCTAATAATAAATAAATACTAAAGAATGAAAGCAGAGGATGAAAGCTCAGGGTGGAAGAGCTTGGCAACATCAGTAACAGACTCCTGATGAGACTCTGGAAGAGAGAGGCACATCTGAATTTAACTAACAGACACAGGAAGGGTAGCTTGGAATGAGAGAATTAGTGGAAAGTAGAAAGCAATGCCAATGAACTTCCTTATGAGTTCTCCAGTTTCCTAATACCAGTTGCAAAAAGTAGACTAGAATCATTAAGCGGTGTGAGGATGGGGGGGAAGGCAGGGAATTTGTACTCTGCTTAGAAAGGACCGGTTAAGCGTAGAACTGTGAAAGCAGTGTGAGGGCAATTGGATTTCTGTCAGGGAGTGATGGATTTAAAGAAGAAAAAGGTGGTGTTCCCATGCTCGATTTTGTAGATTAGACTAGATGTGAGAATTAAGACAGGAGCTTGCCAGGGACAGTAAACACTTCAGCAGGAGGGGAGCTGCAATGGTCTCTGAAGGATCTTAAAATTCCCATGCACTTCCTGTAGCTTGTACTATAAAACAATAGCTTGTGGAGTATGCAACCTCCTGTGACTGCGCAGCTTCATTACTTCCTACTGCCCCAGATCCATCTGGGGCAGGAGGGAGTCAGCATGTGTCCCCACCCCTGCCTTCACCAGTGGGCCCCTGGAATGGAGGCCTTGAAGATGGTGCTGAAAATAGGCAGGGGTGTGCCTTTGTATTTTATAAGCTTCAGGGATGGAGGGGATATGGGGGGAAAGGGGCATGTGGGCCAGCTCAAAGGAAGAAATTGGTGTTGACAGAGGAAGCAGACGTGTTTACTGGCAGAACCAAGTCAGTCAAGAAAGCCAGTGTTGTGTTGATGTACTAATCGCCTTTTACTGAGTTGCCAACAGACAGCAATAACTTTTAATGAGGACTGAAATAAAACCTTTATGGTACCCATGTGTTCAGATTGCTGTGCATCATTATTCTCTCCCTGTGTTTTATTTCTTTCTTATGTTTTAATTTATTGTATTTAGGTCTTTAGTGATTGCTTTGTTAGATAATACTTTTTATGTATTTAAACTATCATTTTAACTTTTAGTCCTGCTAATTTAAACCAATCCCTGTTTGCTACATTTGGGAGAGATGGAAGAGTTTATTTTAACCATAGGAAATTGGAAGAATGGAGGATGGGTTTTTTTATTTAGGAATATCCAGAAGAGTGGGCAGACACTAAAAAATTGCCTGTTGAGTTGCGCTGAAAAGTATAATTCGTGGGAACATCTTAAGAACTTAACAGAAATGTAACAAAACCACAAAAGTCATGGATCTGGATCTTGTGGACTGAAGAAGTAGCCTGGAAGTAGGAGAGGAATGGCCACTGGCATGTGTTACAATTGCTATCTCAGAAAAACACAGAAGTTCATATAATGTCTTCTCCTGAAAGCTGAAACTCAGATCAATAATCCTGGGAAAGTCAGGTAGAGTGAGTTTTTGAAGCTGTCTCATAAAGGTACATTCAGTTTCACTGACTCATAACACAGGTAAGTGTTCTGTAATGACATCATGACCACTGTTGAATGAGTTTCATGCGCTTTTGCTGGTTTTCTTCACCGAGCTCCAGTTCATTTTATTTGTTCCTTTCCCCACTTCTCTGTTCTGCTTATCCTTCATGAGCAGTCAACTGTGTCTGCTTGTATTTTCAGATAGCAAGTTTTGTGAACAAGTCAGCCATAGACATCTCAATCCTGCAGCGGTCTTTGGCTATTTTAGAGTCGATGGTGCTCAACAGCCATGACCTCTACCAGAAGGTAGCACAAGAGATCACCATTGGCCAGCTCATTCCTCATCTTCAAGGGTAAGGATTGTACTTCTGGGAGGCACCCACTATGATGGTCTGGGAAACACTGAGTATTGCTTCAGTTACATGGACAAAATGACCCTTGATTTGGGCCATCAAACCTGTGCCCATCTTGTCCCTCGTCACACAGAACTGGTACAATGACTTTTCTTACTTCCCATCCTTGGTGAACCCTAAGTATCCCCAGTGCCTGGCCTTTAGGAAACGCTCAGCTGTGGTGAATTTTAGTTGATATTGGTTGTTTTACTTTAAGTCATATAGAACAGTTTCTTCTCTTAGATTCTCCAGAGTCTGTCCCTATCTGTATAATGTTTTCCACAATACTATAAATATTTTCGTAATTATTCAGAAATTTTTAGCCTTGGCAGTTTAAGAATTTTTAAAGGCAGGCTTCTTCCTTCATGAGACTCAAAGTAATTACAGTAAATAAAATACATGCAAGTTTTTCCTTAGACACCTGAGCTTTGAGATAGAAATTAGAAAACTGCCCTTAAACCCTGTAATCTTTGAGGTGCCTGCCTTTTTTCACCGTTAGGTAAACTAGAAAGCTGTTGCTGATGACAACACCCTGAAGACCCTGTTACATAGTACGACGTGATATATTTAAGTGTTCCTGGCTGCAGGTGACAACAAACATTGTAAGCTAGCTCCTTAGGAAGGGTTTTCTTGGAAGGATATGGGGGTGTCTTATAGAATCTAGAAACGATTTAAATGGATGCATTTTAGGAAGGACGTTGACATCAGGGTGACCTCCCAACCACTGGTCTCTCAGGCAACACAATTAATTGTTTATTCCATATATGTGAGTGATTTGTACATCCCTATCATATAATAGTCATAGAGGCCAGAAGACAGCATCAGAGCATCTGGAACTAGAGTTACAGATGGATAGATGGCTGGATGGTTGTTAGCCACCATATGAGTACTGGGAACAAATGTGGATTCTCAACAAGAGCAGCTGGTGCTCTTAACTGGTGAGCCATCTCTTCAGCTCCCACATTTGCAAGTTCTTAGAAGAAAAGCTGATTTACACATTGGGTTGGTGTGTAGTAGTATACATTTGTGAGAACGCAAGGGAGTATTTAGCAGTTCTTGATGCACTGAAGATGTTGATGTACCTTTGTGGTATAAGCTGCAAAAATACATCAGATGTTTAATTCATTTGGAGGTGGAGGCTGATCAGAATTTAAACTTTAAGTCTAAGAAGCTATGGGTTTTGGCCTCAGTGAGTGTGTCTCCAGAATAATGATTTTTGTTTGCAACCTCTCTTGAAATGAGATCAGTTTTACATTATCACTGAATGCGAACTGTATTTTTTACCATCTGCATCTTTCTCTCTGAACTCAGAGGTACAAATGTTCATTCACATTGCAGTTCACTGAAAATAAGGGTTTATTATTTACCAGGCTCTGTGCCAAGGGTTTTGTCCTCTGCACAGCAAGCCCAGGAACTTGGTACGCTCTTACACTTTGTTCCAGATGAGGAAACTGTGCCTTAGGGGCCTAGGAACTTGTCTAAGCCCATACATAGGCAGCCTGTAATGAACTGGGCTTTGAATACCATCCTGTGAAAGCTGTGCTTGAAGCACAAACAGCCAACATGATGAATTATCCCTAAGTGTTGCTCACAGGCTTCTCCGGGTTTCTGCCCGGGGTCCTTGTTTACTGTTTACCATGGGGCTTACCTTAGCTCTTTGCTTCCTTTGGAATTTCTGGTCTCTTTCCAGTGCAAAGCAATTTTTAAATATGAATACCTGTGCCTCTTGCTATTACAGTGCTTCTGTTTGAAAACACATTTTTAGAATATGTAATATTGCCATGGAAACAAAGCTGTTCCTTTTAAATAAGCCCAGAAATGTTGAGACATCCACAACTACTGCCTCATGTGCTTCATGCTACAGGCAGAAAGTCACACATGCACACACACACACACACACACACACACACAGTACAACCACATTGTCTGGGTCTTTGTTTTTAATCTTAATGGAGAAGAGGGAGCTAGCCAACTGGTAATTGCACACCTACTGTATGTCCAGCCCAGTGGTGGTGGAAGTACATTCTCAGTGCTGCATACATTTTCCTGCCTTTCTCATCTGTGGGAGATGAGCTGTGATTGTGTGTGATATTGAGTCTTACTGCGGTCTGACTCAGGGCTAGATGCTTATGACTTTCTGTGTTATTCTGAATCTTCACAGAACAGATCAAGAAATACAGACCTATACCATTGCTGTAATTAATGCACTTTTCCTGAAGGCCCCTGATGAAAGGAGGCAGGTAAGTTGCAACTCTTTACTCGTAAGACTGTAAAGATCAGGGCTGGGAATGTCTCCTGCAGACACCATGTCCTTTCCCACTAGAGGCTCTGTCCACGTGGGTTCTACAGAGTAGCCGTGCCTTGCAGGTTGACATGGGTGTATGGGGGTGGGTAGCTGGAGGAGGGAAGCCTTGAGCTGAAGAAGAATGCTGGGAGTGTGGCAGCAAGGAAGCCCCTTCCTGAAATGTGATCCAGTGAATAAGCCAAGGACATAGAGATGGAGGCAGCACTGCTGTGGCGGACTCAGGGTCAGAAGCCGCAGGATCTCTTGTTATCATTGGATGTTCACTGGGGTGAGGGTGATGTTGGTCCCATTTGTGGAGAGGTGTTTCACTTTGCCCAGTGAGTGGGGAGAGAGACAGGTGAGAAGAGAGGAAGGAGCTCATGGAGATTACTGCCGCTGGTGTTGGTTGAGATGGCCTCCCTCAAATGTGAGACGAACTCCGTACCTGGGGATGTGCCTTGCCGGTGTGTGGATGTGGCTGGGAGACTCTGTAAAGAGACAGAACACTTTAAGTGTACCTGGGTTAAACCTACTATTTGATGGTTCTCTTAATCTGTAGTTTTTTGGTTCTTTAATTAACTAAGGAAATGACCACTGTAGAGGAAGAAATGGAAAAACATTCCTGTTTTTGTTGTCAACCAAATGTCTGTGACCCTAGCCATAATTTTCTCCCTTTAAAACCTGGGTGGAAAGATGAGCTCTTCTGACCATTAGCCTGAATGGATCTCCCTGAGGTTAGAGGTTATCGAAGAATGGTTTCAGAAAGATTTATAAAGTGAACATGTTACTGAATGTGGTGCCAAGAATCTTATCTTATTTTTTGTTTCTAAGTATATGAGGACTTTTGCTTCTTGTGTACAATTGTTCACTCCTAGGGGTTACTTTTGAACACTGGGTTGCGCAATATTAAACTTTCCTGTGTGATTCTAGTTTAGTGGAGTCAGTAAGAGGTGCCTGGTGTCCCAACCTCTGCTGTGGTAGTTGGTGCCCAAGTTGGTTTTTAAAGGCTGCTTTTGCAGGTCTGAGGTAGGCTCATGGGTGGGGTTGTGCTTTTGATGTTTGTATAAAGAGCTCAGGATAACTGTCAGCCTTTCATTGTGCATTAGAGGAATATTGTCCTTCACCGTCATTCAAGGACCTCTCACAGAACTACATGGTTCCTGAGTTAGAATGAAGGAGTTAGCAAGCTTGCATTGTGGTCTGAACTCTTGAGAGTATCCTTTCCCTGTCTGAAGAAAGGGTTAGATTGGGGTAAATGAAAGCACTTGCCGGGCTGTGGTTTATCTTGGCTCCTCAGATTTCAACTTAGAATGAACATACCTTGTGTCCCACACCAAACTCTTCTCTGAATTTGTTAAATTGAATCCTCATGGCCACAGGCAAATAGGGAGTCAGATATCAATCTGTACTAATTTTAGGGCATTGGAATATAAAAATAATAATGGAAATATAATGAAAATCAATATAATTCTAGGTTTGGATTCTGCAAATCAGTTTTGAAAATTATGCAATATGGGAATCATATATTCACCTTACATTGCTGTAGTACTAAGCCCAAAAGACTAATCTAGTAAACGCAAATCATTTAATAGAACAACACAGCTAACAATATAAATCAGCAGAAATTTATGAAGTATTGTATGACTAATTCAGACTTTGAAATAAATTAGCTACAAGGTATTTACTTGTTCATGGGAAGTTAATGTTGACTCTACAAACCATTGAATTTAAGACATTCATCAGAAAAAGGAAGTATTATGATTTATTTAAATTAAAAATATCCTAGTGAGTTAGGAGAGAGAACTCCAAAAACAACCAGTTCGTTCTTTTCTGGTGGCATTGGAGGCCTGTAAAGCGGGAATTAGCTAACTGTGGTGTTATGTGGGCTCCTGTTGATCATATCTGTAGCGGAGGGGCATATACCTTTATCTGGACTCTACCTGAGACGTAAAATAACATTTTAGCTGATCTAAATTTGATATTGACATTGTTATTGGCATATGTGCCAAGAAATTAAAATTTCTGAATTTTATTGAGAAACAGGAAAATTTACTAAACTCAATGATGTATCGTCCAGAGTCTGCCATGTGCCAGGCCTGGTGTTCAGTGTTTTGAGTTTTCTTTACTTGATTCTTAATTACTGAAAGTGGTGCCAAGAATCTTATTTGTTTGTTTCTAAATATGTGAGGACTTTTGCCTTGCTTCCAGTTTACAATTGTGCACTTCTGGGGGTTGCTTTTGAACACTGGGTTGTGCCATTTTAAACCCTCCTGTGTGATTGGTTTCTGACATCCATAGGCATTTCACAACACAGGTACACTTTCATACTTTCAATATAATCATATAATCATACAATTTCCATTTTACAAATGAGGAAACTGAGGCTCCAAAGGAGTCAGGAACCTGACCAGGTCACCACAAGGGTAAGAACCAGAATCGGAAGACCAGAGACCAGCCTCCTCCTTGCTTTACCTGCAAAGTCTTATCAAATGCCAGTCAAGCAGGAGTCCCTAACAGAAATTACTTATAGTTACACAGTAAATACTTCCCACAAGCAAGCAGAACACTAGGCCTGTTTTCTTACTCCATTTAGATTAAAATGATATTTATATTTGAATTTTATACAACACCTGCCCCACAAGACTTGATTATTAAACTTCGGACGTTGGATCAATTCTGCTTCAATCAAATACTTTTCCTTCCAATACTTCTCCTTCCAATTCGAGGCCAAACACAGTCATAGGATTCCATTATCAGGACTTTGTTTATCAAGATGTGGAAAGTGAATTTGGAATGACTATTATTTGGCTGTCTTCCCTTGGTTGACTTCCTGCCACTGGGGCATCGCTCTTCCTGCACAGGTGAAGGGAATATGTGCTTTGGTATTGTGAAGGAAGCTCTGCTCTTCAGTGGACAAGTGGATTATTTTTCTTACTGCCTTTATTTGATTTACTATTTTAATGGAAAATATGTTGAAAAGATGCCTTCTAAAATTCTCTATAAATATTTAATGGTTTTCATAAGCATTGTTTGAAATGTTTTTTAGTTTAAATATTCAATAAAATAAAAAAAGACAGATTCGAATGAGGAAGGTTGAAAGACTGCCTGCCTCCCTGGGTTCCCTGCGTGCTCTTCTGCAGTCCTTGAACACGTTCACGGTGCCGCCCTCTCTTTGTTCTGTGTACATTTCTCCTATTTATACATTTTTTTCACCAAAGCTAGCCATACCATGTGCATTGTTTTTATTTTAAAAACTACTTTTAAAAACCAATGAAGATATACCTACTTTGTGGCCATCTTTTCATGTCAGTATACCTATATCTATAGTTATTTTCATCTATATGTTTATATCATTGAATGCTGTAGTATATTCCCTGTGAACTCTCATGATTATCAGACAGTCCCCTAATATTAGATATATATTCATGATAAGGACACATCTGTCTTCTCTCTGATCCAGCTCCCATTCCTGAGGAAAATTGTATAAAACACACTTTGGATCTTTTATCAAACATTTTTTTATCCACTCTCTGCTAGACATCATACTTTGCGCTTGGAACACAGAGAAGAATAAGAAATTCTCTGTGCCCCAATGACCCCAATCAGATAAATTTTGTAAACAAATAATCAACAGTTATTAGCTATGAAACTATGTTGTTCCTTCTAATTTGCTTTAAAATCCTGCAAGCCAGTGGGTCACAATAGACACGGAAAAGGATACATTTTCTTTATTTTATTTTACTTCTTTGGTCTGATAATTGACAGTACTGTCATTTTAAAAATACATTTATAAAGTTAAAAAGAACATAAATAGAAAACAGAAGAAACCAGTGGGCCTTCCTGTATAGATGGGAAAGAAAGCTCTGCTTTGTCCAGTGTGGAGGGGCAGGTCTTCAGAGTTACCATGTAGCTTGCTTCTGAAGGTATCTTTGGCTCTTGTTCTTGCTTTCAAGAGCACAGACGAGGACCTAGTACTGTATTAGGACTTTATGGTATCTAGCCCTTGAAGACCTCCTGACATTATGTGCACCCTTTCCCCATGCAGAGGGTTGGCAGGGTATTACATTAAAGCTGCCAGCTTCTAACAGAGTGCTCTGAATTTCCATCCCTTCTTCTCTCCTACTTGCTTTCCTTTCTGTGGTGGTGATGACGCTGTTAGGTTGGTGTAGAGAGCAATGTTGACATCCTTGATTGTCCTCTGACTGTAAGTCACCCACGTTCCCTTTGTCAGCCTAAACAAACAGGCCCTGCTGTCCCACTTGGCTCCCGTCCTCCCTGTTTGTATGTCCCCTGTAGCTCCTCTCCTCATGTTCTCGGTTCTCCCTGCTTTCTGCAACTTTACTTTAGTCTCAGTAGAATTCATGATTTTGTTTTGTAATGGTAGCTTAGTTCCTTCTCTACTTGGTAAGAATTGAAACACCAAAAATACCCCCCAGCCACAACAAAAGAGAAAACTCTGGTGTCTTCCTGAATATGAACAGTATTTCTGTACTTTTTGAAAGTGTGTATCAAGACTGTGTTTGACCAATTTTCCCCTAGTACCTACGTGTCAATATCCATAAAGAGGTCTGTTCATTGTTCCATTTAATAAAATCACTCTCACATCCTCTATACCAGTCAAGAAATGTCACAGCGCAAGTACAACCTATGGAAAGTTCAATGAGCTGAGCTAAGTGAGTGTGAACGCAAAGCATAGCATCTGCCCAGATGTTTGTCCTTCACTAACCCCCACTTAATTCATTGCACATTCTCCTCTCCAACTGGGGTACATGTGGCCCACAAGAGTTTTCCACACACATAGTCTAGTAGAAGATGATGGACTTTTGTAATGGTCAACCAATGTTCTCCTTTGCTTGATTTTTTCTTCGTTTTTAGAAAAAAAAAAAGAAATTAAATTCCTACTTTGTTTTTCGACCTGCATATTATAATCCAAGTTGAATATATAAAAATTAATTTGAATTGGCTAATTCCTAAGAAATACTGCTGATATACAGTTAAGAAGCACACCATAAGATATAGACATTCTTGGTCACGTTGAAGTACATCTTTCTAACTGAAGCCTTTGTGTGGGTGTGTTTTTCTCTCACAGGAGATGGCAAATATTTTGGCTCAGAAGCAGTTGCGCTACATCATTTTAACAGTGAGTACCTGTGTGCTGAAACTGCTGTGTTGGGAAGAAATGGCCTGCTGTCTGTGGTTTGTGTTGTGACCTGATACTGGAGTTAAGCAGTAGGGCCAGAACTGTCATAAGGAGGGAACGTGACAGAACTGTCATAAGCAATGCTGCCTCATGTGACTAGAGGGAGACGTCTCTGGGCCTGCTGTAGGAAGTCCAGGTAACACATTTGGGCAATACCAGCGAGACCCCAGTCAGTGCGGCAGGCTTATTATACACACCTTGGCTTAGATTTGCAGGGAAAGGTAATCCAGAGCTCCATGGCTTGAAAAATCCACCAAGAGAAGCTTTTATTGTTTTTAATAAGAAAGCTACCTGGAAACATGGAAGGTCCTGAGAAGTTCTGGAAATCCAACCATCATTTTCTTGGCCCCTCTGCAGGATGAGGGGGTATTTGGGGTCCCCTCATTCATTGCAGTGTAAAGATGACCTTAAACTTCAGTGGAAAGAAACTTGCAATAGCATTATGTGGATGTTCAGAAATAAACAGCAAGATTTCATGAGGCCTTTACCACCTTGCCAGTTATTAGAAGGAAGCAAGTTTGATGTTCACAAAATGATGCACTATGAGTGGCCATGGCCTAGGAGCCCAGATTCAGGTTACCCCAAATGTTACAGTGTGTTAACAGTTTCATGAAGTTTTTTTTTGTAGTAACAGAACAAAGAAAGCCATAAATCAAGACTCTTTTCAAATACATTGGTGGAGACACCAGAGAGGTGGGTTGCAGCAAAGCAGGGAGAATTCTGCTCTAGGCCTTAGATGTGATCTGACAGTCTTGGAATGTTACAGCAAGGAATGGCTATTTAGAGGGCTGAAGATGGCCTGAGAAAAATTGTAAATAGGCTCTGAACCTACAACATTCCAAACTCTCCACGATCACAGATGTGCTAATCAATTGATCAGCCTTGCAGAAGGTTCATTCCAAGATGCAGAGGGTTTTTTTTGGGGGGGGGGTGTTCATTCACGCAAATTAACCACAAACAGCAACCACCTTTAATTTGATACTGTAATTCTGTAATTCATGCATGCGCGCGCGCACACACACACACACACACACACACACACACACACAGATGTATGTTTAAAATGTAAGTTTTGTTATTATTCAGGTATAGAGAAAACAGATCAAAAGGATGCTACCACTGAAAAGAAAAGCTTATTACTTACAGTTCCTAAAAGGAAGGGCATACCCACAAGAAGGGGTGTGTCACGGGAGTCACTCAGGAAGGAGGCACCAGCAAGTTGTTCAGGAGACAAGCCACAGGGAAATGTGGGCCAGAGCTTACATGGTGGTATTCTAGGAAAGGGCTAATTGAGACCAAACTCTAGGCTGACCAGGTTCAGGTTTGGCTAGTTTGATGATTTCAGTAATCTATGGAGTTCATGGGTTGTGTCTAGTCTCTGGGTACCTGGCCCTGGGTATTTAGGACAGGGGCAGGGTAATCTGAGTCCTAACTAGTTTGCCTGTGAAAGTAGTCCTTTCTTATCTCTATGAATTTCCTGGGCCTTGGGAGGGGTGGATTCTTCAGGGTAAAGTCTCCTATGTCAAAACTTCAGAAATATGACAAGCGCTAACTTTGTGGTCTAGATTTTCTTCCTTTCTTTGCAATTTTTTTTAAAATGTCATTTGTACCCAGGCATAGTGGCTCATGCCTTTTATCCCAACAGAGGCAGACAGATCTCTGTGAGAGCTCTGGTCTACCTAGCAAATTCCTGGCTAGCTGGAACTACAGGGAGACGCTATCTCAAAAACAAAAACAAAAATAAAAACAAACAAAAAAAAAAAACAATAAAAGTAATAATAATAAAAAAATAAAATGTCATTTGTGAACCATCTCCTTAGCACGTCATCAGAGCCCAGCGGGCCATCAACAATGAGATGGCACACCAGTTGTATGTCCTTCAAGTGCTAACCTTCAACCTCCTGGAAGACAGGATGATGACCAAGATGGACCCCCAGGACCAGGTGGGTGCTCTGCACAAGTGCAAGCCCTGAAGGACAGACGGTGTCACCCAAAGTATGACCTTGAGTTACCCTGCTCCTAGGAGTCTGAGATGATCCTATAACTGTGTTATCATCTCAGAACTTGGAGACATGGCTTTAAAATGTAGGTAAACCTAGGAACAGAGAATAAAATAAAGTATACATGTATATTTTTCCTCTTTGGATAAGAGCCAGGAATCTGGGCTCTTTACTACAGTACCTTAAACAAAGTCAAGTTTCCAGACAACAGAGGCCAAGGATGGCTCTGTATGGCATTAATTCTACACTTGAGAAATGATTTCCATTCTCTTGTAACTAGGGCCAAGGGCAGGTCACCCTCCCCCTGCTCAAACCTGATTTCTAGGCTAACATTTTTACTTGCTGACTACTTGCTGTAATGCCCTGCTAGATCTCTGATTGTGCATGAAACATTCCGTGCCCATCTAGAAGGCTCTGCGGAAGCATCCCTGTGTGAGGGGAGAGTGAGAGGAAACAGCTGGAAATCCTGCCCCTGCTGTACACATTTTCAACTTAAACAGTGCTGCAGCTCTGGAAAGGAAAACACTCATTACTGGCACGTGAGGGCTTGATCTATTGCAGATGCTGAGCTGCACATGCAGAGTGTGGCTGATACAGCATTTCATTCATGACCCGAGGCCATGTGATTAAGAGAGATGGAGAAGCCTGGAGAGGCCAGTGACTATGCCTCCTGTGTTCAGCCAGGCCAAGCGTAGTCCTCCTAGGGAGATGTACCACTTCTACTGAAGGAGAGCAGTGCATCTTAATAGCAAACAACCTTCATTGTTTGTAAACTCTTTCTCTTGTTTATTGAAAACTTCCATTGTGAGAAAATGCATATAACACAGAACTGCTCATTTTAACCATTAAGTACATCCATACTGCTATAAATCATCCCCACTATTCATCCCCAGACCTCATCTTGCCAAATTAAATTTCTGTGCCCATTAAACCATCACTCCTCATTTGCTGTCCTTCCCTCTGGCTCCTTCTAGACATCATTTTGCTTTCTGTTTCTGTGAATTTGACTGCTCTAGGGGAAGTCCAGATATGCGGGAGAAAAGGCAGCATTTCTCATTTTGTATATGACTTATTTTACTCAGCATATTTTTCAGGATATTCCATATGGTAAATGTGTCAGAACTTTGTCCCTTTCTAAGGCTGAGTAATACCCCACAGTAGTCTGTCCCCACTCACCTTTGGAAGGATATTTGCATTATTTCTGCCTCTTGGCTCTTCTTTTTGTTTTATCTTGTGTTAGTTTCCATGACATCAGTCCATAGTGAAGGAGACTGCTTAAAGCTTAAACACTGCTCAAGAACCCTGAGCCCCTCTCTCTTTGTTTCAAACAGAACATGACTCCCTGATTCACCAACTTAGCCTCCACCAATCATAACCCTTCCATCTTATTTGGGGCTTTCATGTAGGACCACCCTGGACAATTGATAGTCTAAATGACTCGACTGAAGGATGACCTTAGATTCATGTCAAGTCTATAAGCAGAAGGAAAAGTGCCAGGAGGAAGAGGGGTCTGCAGACCTCTTTGAACGTGGCTTGTCTTTTCTATGTTATGCCTTCCCTCAATGCAGTGATTCATTTAGACTCTGGGGAAAGGGGGATTTTGTGTCTCATTACACAATGAAAGTCACTTTCCTTCCCTCCCTAACTCCTCCAGGCTCAAAGAGACATCATATTTGAACTTCGAAGAATTGCTTTTGATGCAGAGTCTGAGCCTAACAACAGCAGCGGCAGCATGGAGAAGCGCAAGTCCATGTACACAAGGGATTACAAAAAACTTGGCTTCATTGTAAGTACAAAGTCTCTAGTAAACTCTCTCCTCCTACCCTCCCCATCTGACCTCAGTTGCATCAAACGTGTGGTCCTCTTGTGCTTTACGGAATAGTTTCCACATTTCCAGATGTTTAGCTGGTTTAGGCAGGATCACATGAAAATCTCTTTTGGCTGCAGTGCAATGGAATAACTTGCACAAGTGTGACTAATACTGGGCTTGTTTATTCAGTTCTGATTAAGTGTAACCAAGAGCAGTTAGCCTGGAATGCATCTAGCCTTTGGTGAATCTCCTTCATAAGATCCTTGAGGTTCTCTTTGAGTTGAATGGATGATGACAATTCTGGGACGCCTCTCATTACTGGATTAGTGATTGGATTACTCACACATGTTGATTTCGTATCAAGAGCAAGCTGAAAGTCTCCTGAAATTGAATCAGGATGAGATATACAGTTATTTTCCTAAAAGTTTTATATCACTACAAATGTTAATACGTTGTCTCTGGCATATTTTTTTACTTTGCAAATCAGGTTTTATCCTAGGGATAATTTGTTGCTATGGATCTGCATGCATTCTTCTCTTACCAACATCAACACCAGTTTTGGAGTGACCTTCAGCTAACCTCAAAAATCTGCTGTTGTAAAATGGGGTTTCCTCTGTAACCTCCGTCTTAAATTATACAAGTAAAATTTTGGCTTTAGTGATAAGAAATCACTAGACAGCATTTTT